CTCCTTCAGAGTTGGGACGCTGCCGTATCCCATGATAGAGTGGTTGGAGGGGAGGACTTCCATGTTGCCTTGGCTGACTGAGTAGATGACATCGTCTGGGTCAGCGAGTTCTTGTAGCAAGGTCGCAGTCATTGTGCGCTCGTCGATGGAGAGGAAGATCCCGGTAGTCTCGTTGACTTTAGGTACGACGGCGCTGTTGTCGTTGTTGAAGAGAGAGATGGTGGTGGTGTTGGGCGAACGAGACGGATGAATACGCGCGTCATGTTGGTAGCAGAAGGAAAGACCATTCTCAAGGGCGAAGTCGCCACCGGAATGTCCCTGGGGTCTCGTTAGCATGGCGCTCACCACTAGTGCGTACCGGCGGAAGGATGGGAACGGGGATGAAAACTTACGTTCAAAGTCCATGCCACGGTGCCGTTTTGGAAAACCTTGTAGATGGAGCAGTAATGCCTTGAAGAGATCAAGTAACTTCCGTCCTCAAATCTTTCGATGGAGTTGATGTGGAAAGGGCCCCAAGGGTAACTGCTGTTCTTGCCTAGCTCGCCAAGCGGATACGTTGGTACAGCGCTTTTGAGCGAGATTTGGTCCACGTGGTCAAGATGGCTCCACTGCCAGAGAATCTCGCTGTTCGTAACGTTGAGCTCGAGCGCAATGGAATCCACAACCCACCCATCCTTCGGGCCGCCGATGGATGATAAATCCCATGGGGTAACATTCACAGCGGCGATGAACATCGTACCCTCAGGCGTGATAAGGTTCTCGTGCATATCAACCCAGCTGAAAGGTTGATACTGAGTAGGATCGTACAGCGGATAGATGCTCTCGAGTGGGTATGTTTCGTTCCAGAGAGTAACATTGTAGATGCTCTCGTATTGCTGGTTGAGGATGTAGATTACGCCATACCCGAAACCCCAAGGTTCTGTGAGAGAGATGCCACTGAAGTAGGCCAGTACGGGTTCGCCGAAGAGCTCAGAAACTCTGAAGGCGGCGTAGTCGCCGTAGCCAGACTGCCAAACCAACTCGCCATCTTCTTCAAAGATGTTCAGACTGTAGTTGTGGGCCCCACCTCCACTCTGGGGGAAAGTGATAACTCCAGGTGCGGTGTCACCTGTCTTGTTGACCGAAAGTACCGGGGGCTCGAAACCAGGGCGAGATTTGAAGGTTTGCCATGGCCAGGATGAGGTTGTGTTGTTCTGCGCATGGACAAGAATGGACGCCAGCGAGGCGAGAACGACGCCAGAGAACCGCATGGTGTGATGGGCAGAGAACGAATACCACAGAAGCTTAGATGTTGAGGGTACCAAAGTCCTCGATTTGCTTCTTATAGATCCGACGGCACGCCTCGAAAACACATCGCGTACCCATCAGCATCAGGGCACTGCACGAATGCTACGGCCGATAGACCCTCGCAGAGTTTTCTTATACCTTGTCGCAGTACGAGCATTCTGCCTAAAAAAGAGGTTGACGTCGTACGTGCGGTGTTCGCGATTGGCTCCGGCGGAGTAGGTGGTGGGGAATTTTATCAATCTCATCTTATCAGATGCAGATCGATGCAACATCCGATAGCGGAGATCTTTCGGTGACCTTGGCATCGATGACGGTGGGTGCCGCCATCTCCTGAACAAGTTCATGCGCCGTCGAAGGGGGCCCAGCTGCAGCTGCATACCTCGGGCATGTGATAGAAAAGCAGCGAATCCATTATCCTGGCCAGTAGCTCCGGAGTGCGTTCAGAAAGGAAGTTGACGACGATATGTGCAATGACGCGGAAGATGAGCGCGCAGGAGCGGAGCTTCGAAGGTTCAAGCGATGCTAAGCTTCAGGCCTTCTTATCGATAACCCTGAGTAGCCGTCTTCAGTCCTCCTACCTTTGACACCCGCGTCATCCACTTGCTTGCGGGAACATCATGACAGCGCGTGTACATATCATACGCCATGGCGAAGCACTGCACAACGTCCAGCGCGGCTATGCACACCGAGATCCGCCGTTGACAAAAGCCGGCAACGTCTCCACCAAACGCGTCAACCTCACAGTCCAGCCAGATTTGATCCTCATCTCGCCCATGACCCGCACCATACAAACTGCGGTAAACATGTTTCCATTCTTGACGGAGGCAGGTTCATTCCACATCCCCGTTCAGATCTGGCCCGATCTTCGAGAAGCCAACGACGCCGTCTGCAACAAGGGCTTGTCGCGAAAACAGCTAGCGTCAAACTTTCCCCAATTCGACTTCTCCGAGTGCAATGAAGAGTGGGACTATCCCGAGCATAGCACTGAAGCGGCTAGTACGCGTGCTGAACGAGTGCGAAGAAGGCTGAAAGAACTTTCCGCGACGTATAGCAACATCGCCGTCATCACGCATCGAGGTATCAAAGCTTTCCTCGTGAAAGGCAAGCGCTTTGGACTGGCTGAGACGCGTTGCTACCGTTTTGCTACGGAAGAAGAAGCTCAGAACGACAACATCAGGAGAGGAATCAATAGTGATACGCTCGAGGAGCAGGACTTTGGGCCCACCGTATTGATCTTGGACGAGTCGCAGCGATAAGATCCGTAATGCTACGAGCGTATCGTTCACATCGCCTGAGCGTGACTTCCGACAAAGTCGTTGAAAGTTCAACGCTTTCAGATCCATTGCTGTGAAAGCAGGGAACAAGGTCCGTGACTCTAGAGCTTGGTGAATTACCCCCCGTCGCTGGATCGTGGCGCAGAAAATCCGTGTTTGCGGTTCAACAAGAACCTGATAAGGCAGTCGGTGGCACGGTCTACAAGTCTGCACCACGAACAGCCATAAACCTCACCTGACTGTTATGAGAGCCAACTCAACTGACCATCGAGTCCCAAATAGCCTCTACTCAGGAGACCTTCGGCCACCACTGTTCAGCCTCAGTCTGTTCTTTCACCATCCTTCAACAAATCTCAAAGCATCCGCGTCCTTTCTGCAACTATGGACAACCAGTCCCAGACCGTCCAGACATGGTCTCTCAAAACCACTATCGAAGAAGCTCGAACCAAGCCGAATTTCCGCAGCTATGTGCTTTCGAAAAGCAGTGGCAAGACTATTTTGGCTCTGCATCCGATTGCTTTTGATTTCATGCAGGAAAGTCTCGTGCATCAAGAGCGAGCAGAGTTAGCTAGCAAAATCGACGCCGACATCCGCTCTGCAAAGCCGAAGACCCCACAGGCAGCTGTTTCATTCGCCCTGGAGGAGTCAATCAAGCGGCTATGCCGTTTAGGTGTGGTAAAGAAAGTAAAGAAGGATGCTGCTACGAGCATTGAGCCTTCTCCGCCTAGCCAGCCCAAATCCGCAGAGACGAGCGATGTGTTGGACGGGAAGAAAACTGGTGCTATCGGTTCACCCACTAGTGTTACGAACAGTAAGCCTTCTGAGTCGGGTCAGGCTATGCCAGTAAGAACAAAGCTGTTGGATGAGAACAAAGCCAGTGTCAACGATACATCGACCAGTGTCCCGCCGATAACTGCCGGGCTATCGAAGTATAGCCAGTCCAAATCGGTAGAAAAAAGCACTTTATTAGAGGGTAACAAAGTCTGTCATATCGGTACCCAGACTAGTGTCACGACGATAGCTGCCGAACCGTCAAAGAATAGGCCACCAAACACGGCGCAAATCGAAGGACGCCATGGACTCCGCGCACGAGGTGGGCCGCCAACTACCACTCTAGAGGCCTTTTTATATCGACACGACACATTCACACGCCTGGCAAAGAGGGCAGCCGATCCATATCACAAGACACACATGAAAGGCCCCAAGGTCAGTCACTCGCGACGGGTAAGCTTCAGTCCCAACGTCAGATACGAAGAATACGACCAAGATAGTCCACCGAGTACCTCCAATGTAGCCACCAGTGCCAAACCACCATGCGACACCGACCATGAGGCTGATTCATCGCCCAAGCCTTTAATTCTGCTCTCATTATACGACGTGCCAGAATCCCCCAAGTCAATCCCCAAGGAGCAACTCAGTCGATGCGTCGACGAGGTCATGGCGCAAGGAGCTTTTGGTATCGATGAGTTGGATGCCCAGGTTCTTTACATGCAACGCGGTATTCCATATGGCGACCGTGCATACCAGTGCGCTTGGGTGAAGGAGGCGCAAGAATCGCTCGCTCAAGCTTATGCCGCGGTAGACGATGCTTGCCAGAATGTAGACCCTGGTAGTCGTTGTTTGAAGCGGGATCCTGTTATGAAGGCTGTCGTGGCTATCGCACGGGCGCAAAGACTTCTTGAGCTTGCGTTGCTGCGTGTGAATGACCCGGCGTATAGTAAGGCGTATCTGACTGCGTATGGGCGTGGTTGACGGCTCGATACGAAATAAGAAGGAACTTGGGCGGTGGAAGCTCAGTATATGTTTTCTAGTTCTTGAGTCCATCGCTCTTGAGATCCTCTCAGTTCTCACTATGTGCTTGCTTCTGTTGTTGCATGACGTGTTTGCCGCCGACTCGGTTGCGCGTATTCTGAGTTCGTGCTAAGGTTCGCGCCCAGCGCTCCGTGGCCAACTCCTTGCTCAACGCATTGCTCGATATCAGGATTCAGTATCCCCGTAGACCTTTCCAGATGTTGTGCTTCCAGTTTCTTACCTGATATCCGGGGAATTGCCCTTCCACTAAGCCACCAAAAGTATATGCTGCAAAACGTACCCAAATGTATAATGATTGTAACCAGGAAGTACAGCCAAAGCCACTGTGAATAGACCTTGTCTTCTTGGTTGGGTTTGAAGTCGAAGAAGGAGGTGCTGAAGAATGTCTATTGGATGTTAGATGAATGTTGGCCTGCGCCTAAGCTGTGGTCGAGCTTACGGCGGTGAAGGTTGCTGGGAGGAAGAACACGGTAACAAAACCTATGATCTTCATGATCTTACTATCGCTCGAAGTTGATAGCGCTACGTTTTGTGACGATTCTGCAAGACTTGTACTCATGCTCGCCATGTCAAGGCTGATCGCTGAATCGCGCTGCGCGATGCCGCTGTAGACCTATTGGCGGCCTATTAGTTGTTTGCATTCGATCTGGTTCCAGAGCTTACAGTCTGCACCAAAGCTTGTCCTCGTTTCGACAAGTACTCTGCCCGGTCCTCCAGACCCACATTCCATGATCGCATGTGCGCATGCGAGTCAAGTAGTAACTGTTCTACTTCAACTGACTCATCCTCGGCGAGCTTGTTTGCCTGGGCCTGAATCCTATAGCGCTTTGCGACCTGATCAAGGAAATCAAGCATGCGCGTAATGCTCTTGCAGGACAATACGATGCGAGCAAGATTCGTGTTTGCAGCGTTGATGTCTTTCGAAAGCTTGCCGAAATCGATACTTGAAAGCGGTGGATTGTCATGATGGTCGAATCGAATGCCTAGTTTCCGTTCGTGCCAGTATATCTTATCGTGCCAGCTGTTCAGTGCTTGCACTGCCCGCTCGAGATTGAATTGAACGATGATGCTCGGGATCAGAAAGGCGGAAGTGCTTGCAGCGCCTTGTTGAATTGCGTTTGCGAAGCGATCGTAGTTGTGAGTTGCAAGACCATGCATGAAGATGTACATATGTCGGGTCGAGAAATCGTACGTGAAGGAAGCCCCAACATACACGTCAGACGCCGCGCCAGGCACCGACTGTAAGATAAAGCCTGAGGGTGTGAGCTTACGAGCGGAGCCTCAATTCGCCTGCTACTTACTCAAATATCTGCTTCGCACCTCTTTGGGCGATGTACGAGCTAGGTGTGAGGGCAACTGGGGGTTGGCAAATACGTATGTCGCCGCTTTGTAGTCTAGAACTCGGCCATAGATTTTTGGTACTCGAGCACACAGAGCGATACGCCCGAAGGCTTGCGAAGATAAGGGCACCGGAGTCATATTACCATTGTACTCCCCTTTGCGCCTCGACCAGCTAGCGGGCGTTAGTACCGCAATCCTGATACAAGAATGTGTTTATGCTCACAAGAGCTTGATAGTCTCCACATTCGCTGGCTGTTCAGTTCTACTACCACCTGTCTTCCACTACATCAACGCGCATCCGCCCTCAAAGCTAGTGCAACTTACCGAGAAGTCTTTCTCAATGTATCTCTCGATCAAGTCATCGGTCACTTCCAGTCTCCTTGCATGACCATCGCTGGTCACTTCAATCAGCTTCACCGGTGCGGCTTTGTTCTCCACAAAGGCCAGCGGCGAATAAGTGGCCATAGACATATGCGACGATGGGGGTTGCTCGCGGTCGACCTTGTGTCTTTGAAATGACCGTGTGATATGTCTAGGACTGTTCTTAGTAAATTACCGGCATTGTCATCAAAGTGGGAGGACATCGCGGCTTGTTGTGATGAGATCGAGCTGAACCATCTCAATGTCTCAGCCGCAGTGGGGGCCAATGAGCCACTCGATCGCGATTGGCGGAGAAGAGACAGCTGTCACATCCCTCATGCATCCATGTGAACCAACAAGGTTACATATGGGAACTAGAAGTTCGAGGAACTTCGTCGTGCATATCGGCGACATGCGGGTAGGATGAGAGAGGCGCAGCGGCGGGGCGCTCTTGCCTTGCAGCACGCGGGCGTGAGGTATGCGTACGGCCACTTGCACAAATTCATGCTAGGGCGAAGACGCTACGTCACGCATTTACACAGCTACTAACTGTACGCATAAATGATAACTTTTGATCCGGTCGCCAAATCCTATCCTATACAGCAAATGCGAAAATCGAAGCAACGTTGTTCGTCGCGAAGCAAAAGAAAGGAGCCGATGCAAGCCGCGTAGGAAGTGAAGGCCGCATGCTTGGCAGGCGCAAGCGACCTCAAATCAGCCAGCACCGGTCGTCACATCCAAAAAGGAATTGTGCCGCACCCACACATGAGCACAACTACGCGTCTGCCGATAAAACACCATTTTCAGCGCCGTGCAGAGCATCAAGTGCACGTTCCAGCTCCTGCTCAGCCACCATGACTGTTCCAGCACGCGCGGTGCTCAAATAACTCATCTCAACAGGATCCTCCAGTTGCCCTGTGGTTTCGCCGACTAATCTGCCAGCTACACCGCACACGATACCGGTGCTTTCCATTGGCAGACCTCGCAGGTCCAAGGTGATGGGTGTCAAGAACTCATCTCTGGAGCCTAGGAGAGTGTCTTGCGCGAAATGCGGTAGTAAAGTTTCGTCGAGCAGCAGCGCGGCAGACTCGGTATCAGTTAGTGTGAGCGATAAAAATTTCGGATATGGTTGCGTGATGAGGCATTTTACGAGACCGAGGTGGAGTGCGTCGTCGGCGGATGTTGTCATGCTGTTGCGGTTTCGAGCTTGAGACATGCCATTTGTACTGTCGCGTCGACCGGCGCACTGCACGAGCCGGATGCTTGAATCCACCGTAGGAACGATGTGACGACGCTTGAGTGTAGCGAAAGTCCTGGTTTGAAGCTCTGAAATTGTGGTTGGCGGAGGAGTGCTGGGCGGCTGAACCTCCAGTGACGCGGCTGAGTGTTTGCGGGCATGTTGGAAGGAGTTGACGTATGAGGAAGTGTCTTTCTCGAACTGAAACCCACGCTCTTCTAGCGCTTGTACGACCTGCGATCGGTGTCGCAGTGGGACCAGAATGTAGTCGGAGAAGTAAGTGGTGATGAAGAATATGGGACTGGAAATAAGTCAGCCGTGTGCGGAAGCCTTGTGATGGGCTCTACTTACATCCCAGCCAGAGCAAGAGGACTTGTCAGCTCCAAGACGCGTTGTCCTGCATCAAGTCCCTCGCCATCGACTTGCATTACGACATAGTCGTCTGTGGTAATACTGACAGACGCTCTTGACTCAGAATCCAGCAAGTTAAGAACAGGCAGAAATAGTTCACTCGCAAGCGTCCTCGAGCATACTATGGAGCACTCGACTGGTGTAATGGAGATATTCACAAAGGGATGTTCGCAAGGCCAGCCTTTGGGCGGCTGCACGGCGCCAGAGCCGTTCCCATAAGACTTGCGCGTCGCATTGGGCAGAACTAGTTGAAGAATGGACTGGAGAAAGTTGCGATACAGAGGCAACGGGATGTGTATGAGAGCGAGTTGCGTATCCTTGAAGGTGATCATGTTAGCTGATGTCCATGGGAGAGAAAATTTCAGTGTGGGAGGCGAATTATAAGAGTTGCCCTGCCGTTATGTCGTGCATGAAGGACCCGCCACCAAGGCTCTCTCCGGTGTAAGACACGGACACTTTTGCTACCATGCAGTGCAGCAGAACGCATGATGAGGGGAAGGCCCACGTACCAGAATACGGATATTCGCACTGAGCAGTGTCAAAGATGAGTCCATTACGTGCCACAAAAAATAGATAAGAATAGGCGTTTTCGATGACGATCGCTCGCGTGCCCGTGGGTAGCTGGATTCGGGATCACTTTCCGATTCGGCAAGTCAAGCTTGACGAGGCTTGCTAAGAGGTCCGTGGAGCCTCCAGAAACCGTAGAAAAAGCAAGCTTATCGTTATTCTGAGAGCCTTGGGATCGCGACGATGGCATGCAGCCACAGATGAAAATGCGGGGGATCTGACCAGACTATCGGTTGATGTGTTCTTGTCCAACGGGCCAATGCGAAGTATTGTTTTTGAAGCCGAAATTCATCCCACAAGCCGGAGATGTGTAACTTGGAGAGCAGGATGTGTGGCGCCTGGATACCTCGGGTGTATATGACACAAGGCGCTGTAAGCAATCGTACCGATTCAGTTACGGACCGATGGCAAGCGTAGAAGTGACACAATTGCAGGGCACGGTCTGGAAGCTGCTGTATGTGACCTCGAGGCGTGGATTAGGACAAAATGCCGTGAGTCTGGGGTAAAAGATGCGGCGTGGGGATTGATGCAGGTAACCCTTGTCTAATTGGCTGGGAGGCTCACGGATGGTACAGGTGGATGAACCTTATAGTTGGATTTCAGGGCAGAGTGCGCAATGCGCGGGGCCAGATGGGCGCGTGGGGTGGCACACTGGACGGGAATGGACGCCTGGAAGACGGCTGGACGCAGGAATCGGTCCTGCGCGTAGAGCGGATGCTGCTGCTGACGTCGACTGTGAAGGCGTGGGACAGAACCCGGTCAAAAGGCAGTGGAGTGGCAGCTGGCGATGCTGACGGAGTGGACCGGTGGTTTTCAGGAAGCATCAACGCTTTATGTGAGTCGACGGGCAAGAGTGGAGCTGATATCCGGGTGTGGTGACTCGATGAGGCACCCCGAGAATTTTCCACGACGGCGCGCCCATGATGCTGGGAGATTGGCTCTGTGGCCGGCGGCAAAACAATAGTCAGCGGCGAGCAGAGCATGTCATCTTCAACAATGCGGATGGGACGTCAGAAGCAGCCACAATAGTGCATCCCTTTGTTGCTGGTGTCATGCAGCGCTCGACGAGCTGCAAGCAAGCCTTGGGATCGTCCGTGCTCGTATGCGGGCAACGACCAGTCTCCATGCCGCCGCTGCAACCAGACGCGCACCCAATCTATCTTGTGCTCGAGGGTACCTGATCTACGCCAAAAACAATGACTGAGTTGCACGGCAGCGAAGACGATATTTTCGCGCCGCAGACGGGCAGACTCTCGGGAAGGCGTGTGGTAACCGCAACAACCGACTTCCTTCTCGCTCCAGATGACGAACGCCATGCCTCTCAGCACGAGCTACAGCAGCACATGGAGTGAAGCCCCACGGAGTCCATGGGTGTTGCGGGACATGATTGCGTGCATGCAGCACTGCCCTCTGTCCCTGAGCGGGAAGCCGAGCATAGCCGCCGCTGTCGACCGGACCCTGCTTGACTATCAATCGCCCTTTGCTCCACGTCGCGATACGCGCTGATACTACCTTATTGTACATACGTCCCGCAGTCGGCACTACTCACGGGCAGATGAAGATTCGACCATGGACGTCAGAGCAGCCCGTACCTCGATGCGCGCTGTCGTGTAACCAACGAGGCGCATACCCCGCATCATCTCTCATCTCGCCTGCGCACCCTTCTTCACGACGGTGCGTTCATTGGACCCCCTCGCAATGACGTGCACGCGGGTCAGAGGGCAACCTAAACGACTACCCGCAGTTCGGGAGAGCAGCATTGTCAAGGTGGGTCGTTCCTTGGACAGCTCGGAGTCGACCGACATGACCACCATGCGATGATGTCGTCTGCAGGACCCCTCTCGGTTCAGCATCCCGGACCCACAAGCACACGCCGCATATGCAGCACGTCTAATAAACAAGCTCGCGCGAGAGACGCTTCAAGTAGCATGCGTGGGGGCTGCTCACCATCTTACTGCGCATTGTCCTCTTACCCCTCGCCAGCTCATCCAACTCCTCCTCCCTAGGTCATAGGCGTCGCTGTTATTCTTCCTATGCTCACGGAAGCCGGGAGACCTCCCGCCATGCATGCATGACATGGACCCTGCCAGTCAGACATCGAATACGACACGAGCAGCTTTCAAGACATTATGGCCGCCTATCAAGGCTTGGTCTGATAGTGGCTCGCAAACGACATGGCACGGCCTGGCTATGGCGTGCAGTTTGACAGCAATGTGGTCGCACTGCGTCCAGAGATAATGCGATCTCTGTACCATTGTTGCCATCAACGCGGTTGCTCGGAGTTGAGCTCGACTCGGATGGCCATGACTGGAGCGCGGCGTCCATAGCCGGCTCGCTTCATATACGAATCGTTACCGATCATGACTGCTACACCAGCAGATGACTACTCAGCGAAGCGCGACCGATGAGCCTATCTGATAAGCGTCAGCTTCATTCAGCAAGAGAAAGGAAAGCACGTTCCGTCAGAGTGACGAGGTATAAGAGATTCACCCAGTGAGGATTCCATGCTGCGTAACCCAAGATCAGATGGAAGAAAGGCGTGAGACATCAGCACGGAGGAGGGCGAAGAGAATGGTACAAGGGCAGTGTGGTCACACAATCTGCTAGTCTGTCTGTTAGAGCTCTGGCGGTGCAGAAACCTCGCGATCTCAATCGCATGGTGCCACCCTTTCCAACACGCCATATATCTTCGCATGGTTCTCGGAGTTACCACGCACGTTCTAGCATGGCCACACAAACCGAGGATATAACAAGTCGAGATACTGCATCTGGGAAAAGTATCATGGTGTTATCGGAGACCTGCTCACTCTAGAAACTATAAGCTGTAATGCCCGTGGACGCAATGTGTGAGACAGCGAATCGAGAAGTAGAAAAGAAGTAGGTGGTCAGCGGGTTTGTAGTAGGGCGAAGAAGGCAGCCTTTGTTCATGGGGTGTCAAATCAAATGGTACCGCAGTATACCAATATATTCAATCTGGGATTTCAAGGGCTACTCTTCAGTGATTTCAATTTGGCATCTTTTTTTGGTAGCATTCTGGAAGAACATAACTTGCACTGGACCCTGGTTGTGAATCATATTAAGGGCCCGTGCATGGCCGCTTGACTCGCGAGACACGTCGAATGCGCGTTACCACAACAAACAGACACGAGCAGCACAATTCTTATCGCATCTCAGCATCACGACATCGCGACATCCGTAGCTCCTAGTCGCATGTAGCAAACATGGTCCGAACACATTCATCGTACACGGCCAGCCCCACGCGCTTCCAATCGCCCCAACGCAGTCCGGCGCGCCGCCCATCCCAAGATGGATCACAATATGAGATGGACCTGGACGCCCTGGGCCTCAACTCGACCTTTGAGTCTACCGAACTAGAAAACAGCCACCAACCGCCAGTCGATCACGTGGACACGAGCGAGATTGAGGGGCCGGAAGACTTCACCATGAACATGACCTACTGGATGACGGCAGATCTACCGCTGGCCCAGATAAAATCGCGAAAGGAGGCCAACACGAAACGACCGGTAATACGAATGGACGCCATACAAGACGGGAGCGAAAGCAGACATGCGACTGAAGTGGGTGACCCGGCAGTGGTGGTGGAGGACACGGAGCGGCGGAGAAGTAATACATCTCGCACAGCTTCTCCTACCAGGCGCGCGAATGGTACTAAGAACGAGCGCCAGCACAGCTCGCCAGCCTCTGAGCGGTCCATGGAGAACGACGAGAAGGTTCGGAGCTTTCTCAGCAACCTACCAGACACGGAGATGGAGGGCGCGCTCACAGGAACACCGCTACATGCCCCTAGACACAGCTTTCTCCAAGTCCCCCTGTCGTCACCCCCGAAAGCGCGATCGCTACAGCCCACCGTCGAGGACTATGATACACCGCGGAAGCCTACGCAAGAGACTGTTATACGGCACACTTCAGCTATTATCGATACGAGTGAGCAGGACGTGGCGCGCAATAAGATTGCAGAGCTACAACATCAGCTTGAGCAGCAGGAGTCTACTTCGAGATCGCGCATTACCGAACTTGAGACGATCCTTTCGTATGCCCGCTCCGAGCTCGAGAGCACGCGCAACGACAACTACAAGCACAAGGAGAAGGTGTCAAGTCTGGAGAAGAGCTTGGAGCAGCAACGTGCAGATCACGAAGCAGCTCGCGCAGCTGCAGATGCCGAGGTGAAGGCTCGAGAAGACGCGCTGGAGACCAGGATGCATGAGTTTGGAGAGCAAATGCGCCTCCAGAACCTCGCGAAGCTGGAGACTATGCTTGAAGAGTTCGAACGGCAGCGAAGGGTTCTCGAACAAGCCAAGCGGCAACTCACCGAGGAGGTGGAAGACAAAGACCAGAGGCTGGAAGAGATGCAAGCAGAGCTGGTCCAGGTGCGCCAAATACATGAGCGCGAGCTACACGATCTGAAGGAAACGCAACTACACGAGTCTGGGCATGAGGATGAGGATGCTGCGAAGAAACGTCTCTTGTTGGCCGACCAACTCTCATCGGTCCAAGCCCGCGCGGATGCTCTGCAATCAAGCCTCGAAACGGCCACGTCCGAGGCAAAGACAGCTCGTGAGGAAGCCCGAAGGAGAGACGATATGCGGTCCACTGTCGAAACACAGGCTCGACGCCAGACAGCCCGCATTGCAGAACTCGAGGGACAACTACAGGCGGCGAAGTTCGAAGTGGAATGCTCGCACGCTGATGTGGCAGCTAAACAACAACTGTTCCACACGAATCTCGATCTCAATTCTCGACTCCGCACATTGCAGTCAGATCTTGAGGCTGCACGAAGGGAGCTCACTGTAACAAACCAGCAAAGTCGTCGTACAGCTGACCTTGAAGATCGCATGAGGGATCTCCAGTCGCAACTTGACGCAGCTCGCGCGAATACAACCGCGAATAAACAGCAAGACCCGCATGCGGGCGAGCTGAGGGCGCGTATCAATTCTCTTGAGACGCAGCTCCAATCTGCGCTTGCAGACCTAGCTGCTAAGGAAGAAGAACTTCAGCATGTTGTTGCTGCCGACAGAGAACCCGAGTCTCCCCAGTCGCAACTCGAGCTGTCCGGCACTACGAAGATGACAACTGAGGGACAACCACAGGTAGCTGAGCTCGAAATGCGTATTCGGTCGTTGCAGTCGCAACTGCGATCTACTCAAGCCGACCTTGCTGCGAAGGAGCAACAGATATCAGATCTTGTCGAGTCGTCCGAACAGGCTGAGCAACGTCTGAACACAGCCCAGGGTCGATTACAGAGCCTCGAAACAGGCAACACGAACCTTCGCCAACAGCTTGCGGAAGCGCATCGCGATAGTGCCAAGGCCAGAGCTGATGCGGAACGCTTCGAGCAAGACCTTGAAGATGCCAATGATCGTCTTCAGGACGCTCGCGCGGAGGCAGATCGCCGCGTAAACGACGTTGAGAAGAAGCTCAACAAGATGAAGGAGCTGAAGCTTGAAGCCGAGAGCAAGTTCAAAGAGCTACGCGACCAGCACGAAGACATGGCGGAAGGGCACGAGGCCATGATGGAGGATGTCCGGGACAAGGCAGAAGACGCTGTACGCAAAGCCGGTGCTCTGCTCGAGCAAGAGCGTAGCGAGAAGCGGAGTCTTACCAAAGACTTGAAGCGAGCCAAAGACGATGTAGAGAAGCTCCGCACTGCTGCTATTGCAAAGCTTGCAGAAGAGGATACAGACGACGATACTACCATCTCCTCATCCGCAACCCAGACAGATGCAAAAGATGCCGAGATTGCAAACCTCCGCGACATAATCCGCAAACAAGTCTCGGAAACCAAGACCCTCAAATCCGAACTATCCACCCTTCGCAAAGACAACAAAACCTTCAAGGCTACACCTACACCATCGTCCCAGGACACGATAGCTAGCCTGGAAGCTCAAATTTCAGCCCTCCGCTCCGAGAACGAAGCCCTTGAGACTCGTCTCGCAAATCAAGCTGCTGAGAACGCTGCTATCAACCAGCAAATGGACGAGAAGCTAGCCGCTCTTCTTAGTAAGCTTATGAAGGAGAAGGCTAAGACAGTGGTGGGCAAGCGTGACGGACAGTGGACGGAGAGTGTGAGGGAGTTGGAGGAAGAAAAGAAGTTGCTGGGCAAAGTCTTGATGAGACAATGGGGAAGAGAGGAGGTTGGCATCGATGATGAGAGGGAGGCGAAGGATGGAAAACAGGCGTATCGGTACAAGTACGTCAAGAGATGAAAAGTTGGAGTACTCATTGCATAGCAAAGGCGTTATTGGTATATTTGCGAATTGACGAATTCATGACCTGGGCTAGTTGGTCCATTCTCGAGATTCTCGTTCATCCTGATCATTCGACGTGTATGTCCGTGCCAGTCATGCCCATGTCAAAGTATCCTCTCGACATGAGCCCTCCATGACCAGCCATGATGTCGCCGTCCTCAACTGCGTACACTCTCTTATGACACATCCGACGTATCATCCTCTTATAGCAGTCCCTTCCTGGCCAGTTCGACCTTCCTGCCAAACTCGCCAGTGTTCCATCCTCCCTTGCTTCCACAAATCGCGATACCGTCACCGAGCTCGACTTTGTCTTCGACGTTCTCCCACGCGCAGGGGCAGTGGTGCGGGAAATGGACGCAGGAAAGGGTACCGGGGCAGAGGTAGTGGGAGCATTGTGCTGTGAGAGGTTGTTAGTAAAGGACGTATGTCTTGCCGTTGAATGGATCGTAGGAGGCGCACGCGCGACAGAAGTAGTGTAGAAAGTTACGAAGCTGGAAATATAAGTGCGTCATAATGCAAGAGATTGTAAGAGTGTAACATACCAGCCTCGTACTGCGCCTGGTACCAACTAGCATCACTCCTCACATTCTGCGGCTCCTGATGCTGCTGTCCACCACCACCACCGAACATCTGATCGAAGAAGCCGAATTGCGCACTCGAGCCCCAAACAAACGATGCGAGGACCGCGAAAAGAATTTGAAAGCGCGCCATATCCACAGCGAATATCTCGTGTATATGCGACAAGCGTAGAGTGACTTGTGTGAAGTCGTAAGTCAAAGTGGATGATGTGTCGGTTTCCCCAATCCATCCAACCAATGCAAACGAGCCAAACAAGCTGCAGCAGAAAGTCCGGGAAAGTGGCAGGGGTGTGTGGTGGTCTTGGCACAAACCATGGAAAGCTCGGTGGTCCGCAAAAAACTCCGCGCCCCGACGAACTGGAATTTCGAGCTCTGCATTATCGCGACATCCTTACGCGACAATACTACCCACACCTCACATCACCTATCGCATTCGCTCAGCCGCAATCTAGCTTCTTATTGTAAATCTTAGGGATATACTCAATATACCGCAATGTGAGTCTCTCTCCTACAGCCGGCGCGAAAGCTGCATTTGCACACGGCGCGCGACCAGCACCACCCAGTCGCAGCACCTTTCCCAATCTCACGAAACTCGAGAAGACAAGGGAAATGTCGAGCGCAAACTAACAAATCTTGCAGCATGCATCTCATGTACATCCCCGACCCGGCGAACCCGACCAAGCGCATCTACACGCTGAAGAAGGTCATCGACGGCGAAGTCAGCAAGAGCGCGCACCCGGCCCGTTTCTCGCCCGACGACAAGTACAGCAGGCACAGGGTTACGATTAAGAAGCGCTATGGACTGCTTTTGACGCAGCAGAGTATGTTTGAGCCCAAGCTATGAGGATACGCCCGGGATGGGGGTGGAGTTGGACTTGGGGATAGAGGGCTAACGGGAAGCAGAGAACAAGGTTGCTGAGAAGAACTAAGCGCGCACACCACGTAGTGACAACGGCATTTTACGAGCGGAAGACAGCAGTGGGGGGATGGTGGTGTGGGATGTAGTCGGAGACAAGACGATGTGATGGGATGAAAGATGGAGGATGTGGAGGCATGACAAGGGCGTTCAACGGCGTATTGGCGAAAGAAAAGTCTTCAGACGCGCGCCGATTTATTGCATGGCGGTACGGAGCGCCGAGATTCTTCTTCAGTGGTTTAAAGTCAGGGCTTTCAATGAGATGGTTATAATCACTTGATCTTTTGGGGTGCTGAAATGTACCCATGTGCTGATGCCGAGATCTGTGAGATGTGAACGTCGCAACGTCCCCACCTGGCTAAGAGCATGTTCGACGAAACGTGTTTCCCGCTCAAAGGTAAGAAGAAGGTAAAGGGTTCAAAGAATGATGTGTATTACAGCCAAGCTATACATGCATCGCGACATGACAGAGCTGGCCTATAGGTATAAAGATGCAAGGAAAGAAAAGATATCTAAAAAGAAGGGAAGAAGAGAAGAAAAGACACAAGGACGCCACACACATGCTATCTATCATCTTCCGAGTCACCACCTACAACGTACTACTCCTCCATCTCCTCCTCTCCATCGACAACCTCTCAACTGCCATCCTCCTGACCACCTCCTCGACATCCGCAAACTGCTCGTAGAACTTCAGACTCTCTGGATTCGCCAACGTCCCACTCGGTTTGATCTTCTTGCCTGAGACAATTTGCTTGACGGGTAACTCGACTTTCTTCAGGTTCACCGTCGTCTGTGACATACGTTAGCATCGTACTCTCAAAGATTTACAAGAGAAAGAACACAAAACTCACCGGAATATCCCAAGTCTGAAACACAAACCGCGGAACATGTCTCCGACTCCTCTCCTCGGCAATCTTCCTCTTGACCCTATCCACCAACCCATCCGTATACTCGTATCCCTTGTTCATCTTAAGGAACAGCATAACACTCTCATCCGCATCGCCCGGTCTCCGTTGCCCAACACAGATGCTATCTGCAATCTCAGGGAAGTGCGTCTCAATAACGCTGTAGATATCCGCAGAGCCAAAGCGTACTCCACTGGGGTTCAGTACTCCGTCTGCGCGGCCGAGGAAGAGGATCTGGCCCGTGATGGGATGCATCTGGATGAAATCGCCGTGTGTCCACACACCAGGGAAACGGGTAAAGTACGCAGACTGGTAGCGTGTGCCTGCCGCGTCGTCGCCGTAGAAGTAAACAGGTTGGTTGGGGAAGGATGCCGTGGCGACGAGTTCGCCTGGTTCGCCATCTGGCACTGCACACCCAGGTCCAGATTCGATGAGGGAGTCGTAGACTTGGACTTTCATACCCAGACAAGGGCCCTGGCAGCCGCCACTGTACACGGGCTCGAGCGGATTTTCGATGCCGAAGCGCCCTGCGATGTCGGTGCCGCCGGAGATGTTACGGAGGTGGACGTGAGCGGGGAAACCGGTGTCGTAGAACCATTCGAATTGTGCTTCGGGGAGGACCATGCCGGTTGTTGCTACGCTTTTGAGGGACTTGAAGGGGAAGAGGGTACGGGGGATGATGTTGCGCTTTTGCAGCTCGTGCAGGAATTTGGGCGAGGTGCCGAAGTCGGTTACGCCTTGTTCTTCGAGGATGGAGAGGAAGGTTTCGGGTGTGGGTTGGAAGGGCGAGCCGTCGTAGAGGATGGACCGGGTGCCGAAGAGGCAGACTTGGACTGAGACGACGTACATTATCCAGCCGGTCTGCATCAGTTAGTCAGATGAGAGGTAAGATGGGATTGGGGGAGGACTTACGGTTGTGTACTGTAGAACGACGCTTTCGGGCGTCATCTCCTTGTGCAGTATACTCTCCTTCGCGACGTTGATGAGAACGCCACCAGTGGAGTGCACGATACACTTCGGCACGCCCGTCGTTCCACTCGAGTACACAATCAGGAACGGATCTCTGAAAGCCACCCGCTCGAACGTCAATGTGTTGTCTCCTCCGGCCACTTGCAAAAACTCATCCAACCGCACCGTCCTGGCCAGGTGTGCGACATCGGCGGGTCTTCCAGGAAACCTAGGCTGCACAACAACACCCTCGAACTCTGCAACACCCCCACTCTCCATTCCCGCAATGATCTGCTCAATCTTGGGTCGAAGGTCGAAGGTCTTGCCGTTGTATACCGTCCAGTCATCCACAAAAACGTACTTGGGTCGAATCTGCAATAACCGTTCGAGAATGCCCTTGGCACCCATATCCGTACTGCTTGAGCTGAAAAGACCACCGACAGCAACGGTCGCCATGAACGCAATGAAAGTGTCGAAACTCGTTGATGCGATGACAGCAACACGATCCCCCTTTCCGACTCCTCTAGCCCGCAACGCATTCGCGAGGACACCAACCCTTCGTCGTAGGTCACCCCATGTCAGATGACGGATCTCTGTGTTTCCTTCACGGATTTCTGTAAGAGCGATCTTGCTTTCTTCTTTGTGGGTTGTGGTGCGTACGCCGGGGTAGGTGGGGTCGGCGGTGAAGAGGATGTTTTCGGCAAAGTTGAGATATGTGCCTTGGAACCAGTGCGGATTTGTTTCCATCGGTAGCGAGGTGTCCACGACGGTTGTGTAGTTGCCGGAATAAATAAGGTTGCTGGTTTTCCACATGTCTTCCCAAAAGTCTGTGCGTGATGGGCCGACGCTCCAGTTGTAGAGGTCGCGGAAGGTCTGTAGAGAGCGTGTTAGTGGTGTTCAACCGTCTTTGACAAGTCCTGCTTCATCGTAGACGATAACGTAGGCATATGGCATGCGATGAGTCTGGTCGAGTTTCATGTTCTTTCGTTCGTGTGCTCAAAGTATGAAGCACAGGTTCTGCCTTCGATGCCATCGGCAACGGCCTCTTGACTATACAGAACATGCCTGACGCGCACGATGCTTCACGCAAACATGCACCCCTCTCTGTATCACCAAGTCCGCAAGCAAAACATACCTGCATCTGCAACCCCCTTTTCGCATTCGCATCCTGGATAAACTTCCACATCGCTGTAGACTTCGGATCTGGATGCTCCCACAGCTTGCGCGGCGTAGACACTGCCGCCACCATCATGACCGGTGCCTGGTACTGGACCTCCGTCTGCATGAGCATAGTCGCCATCTTCTCCTTGTTGAGAGAGCGGGTATATTGATCGCGAACGAATATAAGGAAAATGGTGAACTCGAAACGAACTGGAAACGAAGAGAAAAAAAAGCGAGTGTATGTTGGAGCGAGTATCACACCTGTCAATCCAAAGGCATAATCATTGTAATATGAACATCTCGTCCCAACGATGCAAAGTCACATGCAGAGCGCTTGTTGTTGCATATTTCCTTCTTCTGCCCCAACAATCGGCATCTACCACGCGGGGATGCGAGCGCTTTCAGTAAACAAAAGGTACGAGAGTCTCGAACAAGACACGCCAAGTACGCGGCTAGGAACTTAAATCCATCGATTTCCACGTTTAACCATGAGATCTGCGAAAACGCACCTTGGCCATCAGGTACAAAAGGGGATGCTGTGGACGTTCAGGGTTTTCGATGTACAGATTCGTCGTCGCACAATTGATATGTAACCGCCCATGGCTTGTCGCTTCCCCTGCTGCTGCCTCGGTGATGTCGCCGATGGGTTGAGGTCATGCGGGGAAGCTTGGATACGGATCGCGTACATCCGAAGCGAACGTTTTTCGTTATACACTGTTGCTTTTGTCGCTTATCGGTTCTTATCTGGACGTTTCTGTTGAGAAGTCGATTTCAGTCTCGATCCAGTTACTCCTTTACTGTTCCTGGAGATGATACTGTAAGGTTGTAGGTAGTGCTCAGTCAGTCGAGTTCGCCTCGTGAGTTGCGGGTGTCTACGTCTTCTGTGTTGCTCCTTGCGCGCGAGCTGAAGCCAATAGAGCGGCCAGAAGGCGAGCACTTTGCATTCGGGGTCATGATCGGTTGACCATGCGACCTCGACTAATTGTGCGATGGCACGTGGCAGTTGCCAGTGCGCGCGTCTGCGTGATGAATCATAGAGATGGCTGTGAGTGCACCGTATAGGTGAATACTTAAGTCGTCACCAAGCGCGCTGCTTGACTCCAGTGTCGCACGACTGCTAAC